CTAGTAACCCCATCCTGTAAAATGAACACTGCTACAGAAACTTCAAGCCTCTAGCTTGAAGCTCTAAGTTCCACTGAGGAACGAGAAGGAGGAAAAAATATCTTCACAGGTTCACTGGATGGAACATTTGTTCTTATCTTCGCATTCATACAGCATCTATCTAGGGGACAATGTGAACGTAATAAGCGTAAATAAAACGCTAAAATGTATGCTAATCAATAGACAGTAAATTAGACTTAAACAGTTGCAAAGACGCATATGAGAGCTTACACAGTGGGGATAGCCTTTCAATAAATTGTGCTATCTTGAGACACCGCCTTGAGTGACTATAAATGCCATTCCGATAGCTCTCTCATACTGCTCAATGTTCGCTAGAGCCTAGGGAATGAGTGGAAAATACAGAATGGTGGTCAGGCTATGAAATGGTGCTAAGGGATAAAAGACAGACCACCTAGGTGATCTCCCCTGAGATAGTCCGAAGCAGTGGCAGGAGCCGTTACCAAATATCACTGAGATTCGTAATCACTGGCGACCTCCAAGGTGCACTGCCCTCTTTTCTTCTTATGAACGCTCTTCAAATATTCTTGATAAGAATCCCTGGTTGCCTTTATGATGGACGTTTAAAACTTTGTTTGGAGCACCCATTGGGGCTTAAACTTTACGAAGTTTGCGTTTAGATAAATAAATGAATTTAATGTGAAAGCTAAAAACAAGTCCATGTAAAAAGATGAGAATTCAAATTTTGGCAAGTTGAAAATCAGTGAATACAGGAAGTTTGTCGTGACAAACACTTTCATTCGTCAGGTATTCACAGTGCGCAGTAGAATACATGTAAGTGATGAAGCAATTAACTGACTAAGCGGTTTCAATATAGAACTTTGCACAGAAGTCCACCAGTTCAATTTGCCATACTCCATGTAGCACACAAAGGAAGGGCAAGAGGTGAAACCAGAGATTCGAGGGAACGATAACGAGCAGAAATGTGAGGGTGAAAGAATAATAACATGTAGAACAATTGAGCTTGATGCGAGATGACAGACCACAGAGAGTGAATGTATATGCACCATTGAGAATGATTCTGAGCCATATCACCAATTGAACCCAGTTACTGGTTCTTACCATCCTGAGGACTCTAACCAGGTAGTCCACATCTCGCAACGTGGTTGATTTAAACTAACTGTCAAAGATTTCATGCATTGATGCCATGTTTTGATCTGACCACCACTAGCTTTTTCCAGCCTGACGCTATGCTATTCGGCGAAGGCGATGACTAGGCATACCTAACAAATGTCCTAACCATATTCAATCTATGTAACTTGACAACCTCGTCGATGGATTTTCCCTTCTTACATAGCACTCGACTGAAGCCTAACCTGAATACTGCTCACCTTAGTGTATGCCACTTAACACGGGAGATAGAACGCAGACGCCTATGACTAAAGACAGCTAGCTAGCCAGGTTTTTCATGTCTTTCACTTTCAATGACCATGTATGTCTCCCAACCGTAAAGCAGTATATAATGAACTGCTGAGTAGTACACATGCCTTTTGGTCGACAGCCAGCCAGATATCACGTCTAGATCAGATATGCCTAACGAGCCTTCTGCATCCATACTGAAATTTCGTCAGCGATCAACCCGCTGGCGCTGGCTGATGCGACTCCCCAAATAAGTTAAGTGGTCAACGTGCCCTACCACTTCACTCCCAATCATTAAGCTAGGGATAGGTGTACTCCAATCCATCAGCATCATCAGCAACATTTGACAGGAGCTGGTGAATCGCATGTCAAACATTCGAAGGTTGCCACTCAAGGTGTTCAGAAAAACTTTGCATTTTACCACCTAGGAGGACTACATCATCCGCATATTCTTAGTCAACGAGATTATTCTCTGAGAATAAGTCAATCACTGAGCTGCTGAAGTAGGATCAGTCCACTAGTACATCTATGACGAAATTAATAGAGATTTGTAGTTCGCTTGTATGATTTTGATTTGGTTGTGTTCTCTGAGCTGGTTACAAGAACACAACCACCTAATGAAAATGGGTGAAATTAAACAGAAATGAGGACAATGGGAATCCCTGACAGACAGATGAGGCAAGAAGGCAATTGAATAATTACCAGACGTATCCCCATTACCTAATTTTAAATAGTTAAGAGAAATGCATCCCTCAAGAGAGCTTGAATACCATAATGTATAACATCGGCACAACTTTGGGTTAAAAAAAGCGATAATGTTATCTCGCTAAAAACATTTATGAAGCAAAAAAGGAAAAAAGAAAGAAAGACAAGTTCTATACTTACTTTACCCTCTTCAATGGCATTTTTAGCGAATTCAACACATGTGTCCACTTTGGCAGCAATACACAGATACTTGAAAAATCGTTGATGAGCAGACCAAAATTGTCCCCACATAGTTTTACGATAACGATCACTGAGATTTAGCAAACGTGATGCTTCAGTGAAGAAACGATATGCATAGACCCACTGAAAAGATTAAATATAAAACAAATTAGAAACAGATTAAATTTGATGGATAAGGTGGTGAAAGATAAATCATTTAGAGAAAAGCATTTTAATAATAAATATTCACCACTGGTGGGAAATTTTATGTAGTGTACACAATGGCACTAAGAATCAAATGCTTAGTAAATTTCTTATTATGCAAACTTTGTAGATACACGAAGATAGCCAATACATTTCTAGTAAATATGAATTGACTATCATGACGTTAGGTGTTATAATAAGGTAAGTAATGTTGATGTTAGGCGTAGAGTGTTGGGCAAAGAGGGAAAATCAATCGACAAGACTATAAAGTTACATAGATTGAGATGGCTAGGTCACGTGCTGCGCATGCCTAACCATCGCCTCCCCCAACGGGCATTACTAGCTAATATAGGTGCAGGTTGGAAAAGAGTAAGTGGTGGCCAAACAAAACCATGGCCTCATCAATCCATGAAATCCCTGACAGTTAAACTGAGTCAGGTAGGGAGATGCAGACTTCCGGGTTGGGGCCCGCCCTCGGGACTCTAAGAATCAATGTCTGGAGACAATAGGTGACATGGCTCAAAATCGTTGTCAATGGCTTACGCAGATGTATTCAGTCTCTGTAATCTTTCATATTCCTTTCTACCATTACTCATTCTGATTCACTCTTATACTTGTCAAAACTGTATTGATTCTCTTCACTCTCATCTTCTTGTCTACCTTTGTGTGGTATTTGGAATGTGGCAACTGGAACTGCTGCACTTCGGTGACAAGTTCTATGTTGCATCCAGACATGAAGACTAGACACCGGTGAACATTCAGACATCACGAAAAAAGGTAGTGTAACGCATACAAAACCATTGTTTTCCACACGTTGAGTAATATTACCTGACAAAGCATTGGGTTTGTAAAGAGGTGGATGTGGTCAAATCAAAACACAGAATCAATGCATAAATTCCTTAACTTCTGGTTTCAGTCAGGTACGGTGGTGTGCAAACTGTCTGACTGCAATCTTCGGAACGCTAAGAACCAAAGACTGGAGACGGTTAATCCAAAATCATTCTCAGTGGTGAAGATGTATTCACTCCTTGTAATCCTTAGGTGGAAGGCAATTAGCTAGCTATCTTTGATCATAGTTGTCTGCGTTCTGTCTCCCGTGGTAAGTGGCATACTAAGGTGAGCAATATTAAGGTTAGACGTCGAGTGCCAGGTGAGGAGGGGCAGTCAATCGACGACTTTGAGAAGTTACACCGATTGAGATGACTAGGACTTGTTTTATGCGTGCATGCCAAGTCATCGCCTTCTTCGACGGGCAGTGTTAGCTGACCGGCATAGGATCAGGTTGGAAAAAGCTAGTGGTGGTCAGATCAAAACATGGCATCAGTACATGAAATCTTTAACAGTTGGTTTGAGCCAGAGGCATAGGGAGGTATCCACTACCTGGTTGGAGTCCTCAGGATGGTAGGAACCAGTAACTGGAGACAATTGGTGATATGGCTCAGAATCATTCTCAATGGTGCATATGCATTCACTCTCTGTGGTCTGTCATATCGCATAAAGCTCAATTGTTCTACATGTTATTATTCTTTCACCCTCACATTTCTGCTCGTTATCGTTCCTTCGAATCTCTGGTTTTACCTTTTTATCTTCTTTCATGTGCTTCATGGAATGTGACAAGTTGAATTGGTGCACTTTTGTGTAAAGTTCTTTGTTGAAACCATCCATTAAATTCTGAATATTTCTTAATTAGGTATTCTTTCTTTCATACATTTCCATTTCTTATAGTCGCGTTGCACGTCTATTTTTGTCTGCATTGTATGTTACAGCAGGAACTGCTCCACTTTTGTGTAGGGTTTTGTGCTGAAAACTGGATTTAGTTGCGTTGAAATCCAATTCTTATGCTGCGCGAAAGAGAAATCCAGTTTTGATACACCTATAAACAATAAGCATCTACAATACATGTGATCTAGTTACTTCAATCGGCGTAGCTTGCACACCCGCCTCTCTTACTAGACCCTACCCATAATATCACTGACTAACTGACTAACTAGTTTCAACATACAACTTTGCACCGATGTGCAGCAGTTCGAGTCGCCACACTTCACTCAACACACAAAGCCAGAGAAGAAAGTGAAAAGAAATGCAAAATCGAGACAGCAAACAGAGATAAGAGGCGAGAAGAATAGTAATATCTAAGATCAATATAGTTTTATTGGATACGATAATCCACAACGAGTGGATGCATCTGCACCAGCCATTGAGAACCATTTTGAGGCATATCACCAATTGCCTCCAGCCATTGGTGTTTACCCTCCAGAGGATCACAACCAGACAGAAGTCTATACCTTCCTACGTGCCTGTCTGGATGGCTTAAACTAACTGTTGTGGATTTCAGGGACTGATGAAGCCATGTTTTGGTTTGACCATCACTGGTTCTTTTCCAACCTGACCCTACGTCAGCTAACATTGTCCGTCGAGAAAGGCGATAGCTAGGCATAAGTAACATATATCCTAATCATTTCAGTAGATGTAACCTCACAGCCTTCTCGACTGATTTCCCGTCGACGTCTAACCTCATTATGATGAAATTGAATAGAAATGGGAATAGTGGGCATCCCTGTCAGATACCACTGGTTGTCACCACTTCAGATGACAATTCGCCATAAGCCCTCACCTGGCTGCATGAGTTCGAGTAGAGTGCCTTGATCAATGCAATGTATTTTCTCGTTATTCCTTTTACAGCCAAACATCGCCAGAGTACCTCTCGGTCAACAAAATCAAATGCCGCCTTTAGGTCACGAATTATGACGATTGTTGGACGCCGGTAAGCATGCCTATGTTCGAGAATCTGTCGAAGGGTGAAGATATGATCAATACGTCCCTTTCATGGTTTAAAGCCCGCTGGATTTTCTCATATTTGTTTCTCTGAGCATCACTTAATCGATGCATGATTATTGAGGCTATAACTTTAGGTACCACATTAGTCAAGCTAGTCCCCCTATGATTATCACAGGAAGACTTGTCTCCCTTCTTGTATATCGGGATAATCAATGGCTTACACCAACACGACCAAACTTCCACTGATTCCTAGACGCTGCCTAGAACCTCAGTTAATGCAGACAGTAAACTGTCTCCACCGTACTTAAATACCTCTGAAGTCATTCCATCAGGTCCCTCAGCTTTGCCTCGTTTCAGATTAGTGACAGCTTTTGTAACCTCAGTTAGGGACGGAGGACCTGTGTCTATATCCCATTCAGGGAGGTGTTGGATGTTCGGCAGGTTAAGTGTGGCTGTAGGCCAATTAAACTGCTCCTCAAAGTGTTCTTTCCAATGTTATAGTCGTCCATCCTGAGAGCTAATTATGGTGCTATTTTTCTCAGAGATTGTTTCACTTATCATTTGCCTTTTACCACCTTTTTCCCTGATAAGCCTAAATAGTTGCCTGGTATTACCTATCGCCGATGCCTTTCTCATCTCTTTCGCTTGTGTTGCCCACCACTGTTCACGGTCGTTTCGGATGCTTCTTGTTAATTTGCGTTTGAGTAGCTTTCACTCCTTATCATAATCGGAGCTTGTCGGAATCAGTCTTCTTGCGTCAATCAGTTCGGATGAAGTGGTAGAGATCCAATGGCTCTTCCTAACTTTAGGTTTCAGGTTATGATTATATTATTTTGGGGTAGACTGAATTCTATCAGTCAAGTTTGCAACGTGGCCACCACCGTGTCAGGTGGTCTCGCCATCACGGTGTCCGAATAGCTTGGTGGTAGCTTGTCTGACTACAACACTGGGTGACGCAAGTTCGAATCTCAGAAGGGATATGAGTTCCTCTTCAAGGTTGCAGATACGGCTTCTTGTTGACTGGTGAGTGGCAACTAGCACGAAACCTAGTTGCAAGGCCTCCTGTCGACTGCCTCCAAACATCTAACATGATTATAATATAATATAGTAAGCAACCAGAGGAAAAGAATGAGGTCTTTCAAAACAAACCTACTGAAGTCCATCACAAAGACAAATTATTTTATTTTTTAAAAATAATAATGATAGCTGATAGGTAGTAAATGTACACAAAGAAGAGGAATATTTGTAAACATCAAGGTAACTAAATTCAAATACACAATAGTAAAAAAAAGAAACAAAATTAAAGAGAATACTTACCAGATCGGTAGACTGATTATATACATGAATAAAACTATCATTTCCCAATTTAACATTTTCAATATGCACTTCTTGAATACCAAAATGTACACCATGAAAACTAAGCTGACGAGCAATATACATTCCACGCAGTTTCATATCCATAGCAACTAACTCCATGGCGCCTACACCTCGACGTTCAAGGGTTTGAATGAATGAATTGAATGTTTTGAACGGTGTACCTTCACCCCATAGACCTAAACGTGTCATATAGGCCATATTACGTGGTTCAGTAGCACCTGTTGCACTAGCGTATACAATCCTAGCATTCGGCAATCTGTTCTGTAATTCAAGAACAGTTAAACCAGTTTTTGTTGGTTTTTGAGATCCACTCGGTGTAAGATTCTTAGCTCGATGGCATTCATCAAATACGATCTACAAAACAAAATAAGCACAGTTTGAAAATAAAATCTAATAAAAATTGAGAAAAAGGATGTTTAATATAGACATTTATAACACTACTTCCTTACTTCACACTAGCCCTCATTAAACGACCTGGTAAAACCAAGAGTGGGTAGACTTAGGTCGGCCTCTAGAAATGTGTCCTCCGATATGACCACGCATCCATAGCCTCTGCCAGGTAAAACCTGTTCACTTGCTTCACGCAACAAGGGTGTTCCCCACAAAACTGGAAGAGTGAATGCGAACATGCGGCATTAACAACCGGACTAATCTAGAGGGGCTGAAAAACCCTGATTCCAAACCTATGGTGTATACAGGCTCCAGAATCCGATGGAACGAATGGCGTATGAACCTGTTTTGGTAACCGGACACTAGGGGAACGTAGCTCCTGACACTGCTCCACCGTCTTGTGAGTCAGACTTCAAGTCAAAGGTTCAGGGAGGCGTGATCCCTTAAGACAACCATCCGATTTGGTTTAAACGTCCGAGCAGCATACCGGTCCGGTCCCCGTACAAACTATGAGATTTTGTGTGGAACATCTCTCGGAGGTCAACAATGTATCAAGTTTGTACTTTAAACAGTAGCTAAAAAGCTGTTTGAACCTTGGGTAAAAAACGTTTTCGCTTAGAGTGCATACATACGGTGAGGAACAATTTACTCCGAACTAAACTGACACTTTATAACAGTGAATAAACTTACGATATATCTGATACCGAAAAGTAAACGCGTAGATTTATCTTTTTGAAACAATTTGACAACTATAACATTCATTCATATATCAAGTAAAGTGGGTGACAGATCAAAAAATGGAGAGATTTATATCTCAAGATGACTGAAGATTTGAGCATATCGATCACTTAAATTTAGAAGAGTTTCCAAAGAGGTGATAATAATATAACCATGATTTCAATTACCTCAGTGTGACACTACAAACATGCCGGGAATAGCATCAAATATTACGCTAAAAAGCGAATCCATATAAGTAGTAATTAGTTATGCTCAAGTTAATCGAGCTCTGAAAATGGTTTTAATGTCTTCCCCCGCCTCCTCCTCCTCCAACCCCCCGTGTGTTCATCAGTGTACATTCACTACAGTTATAGTGACTAAAATCAATACAAGTTAGCATGACTAATTATTAGCTGATATATCAAAGAAGTACTTTGCGAGGAAATCCACTAGTTTAACACTAAAGGATTTTTGTAGCCATATTATATATAAAAAGAACACGCATTCTTATTGAGTTTTAACGCAGAGAACCCTATACCGAAGTGCACCTGTTCAATTTACCGCAATCCATCTAGAATAAAAAGGTAACCAAAAAAGGGAAGATACTCAAAACAACTATAATAAGCAAAAATTTGACGGTGAGAGAGTAGTAACATGAAAAGACACGACAGTTTAGTGGATATCAGAAATCAAAGTAGGTGAATGCATCTGTATCGCTGAGAAAGATTTTGAACAATATCACTTTCATAGTCTGAAGTCATTGGTTCTCTTAGCGTCTCTCAACCCCCCCCCCCAACGAAGCAGCAGCCTACACCTCACAGTGAGGCTGGTTCAAAACAACTATAAAAACAATTTGTAGACTGATGACACGTCTTGATGATTTGACCACCCACCCTCCTAACTCTTTCTCCACCTCATCTTATATCATCAGCTAACATTGCCAATAGAGTTAGGCGAATGCCCGACATGCACAATATGTGCCCCAGTCATCTCAACCGATGTAGATTCACAACGTTATTGATTGACTTACTTCCCTTACTTACCAACCTACTCCTAATCTGAATATTGCTCACTATATCACACAAATTAACAAGGGAGATAAAATGCAAACATCCATCGTCACAGACAGCCAATTTTTTCAATAGTCATGTATCACAGCCATAAAGAAGAACATAACAAACTCATGCACAGTACACAGCTCCCGAAAAAAGCTACGCACTCTAGAAACTCCAGTCAATGACATCATCTACTTTAAGGTTATTTGTTCATCTGACCACCTCGGAGATTTTAGGAAAAAATCTAATTCTGCCTAGGCAAAAGCTGTTGGTCGATGAAGGCGGTGAGTGTGGTTGCTTCTCAGAAGTTCTTGCCACCTCCTCAGTCTATGCAGCTATACATGACTCTTTACATAACGCCAAACCCCATAACTACTTGCTACATTGCTCCAAATAACACGAAGACAAGTAAAAATTTTCACATCTACTTTCAAGTACTTCTACTTCCAGCAGTGGAGTAATACACAACAAACTGATGCTCAGAATACACACCAGACACCTGCACGAAAGATAACTCATGCTGGCAAATGTCAAACGGTATTTGTATTCGTTCTGAGATTTCCTCAACAACTTGAGGAAAGGAAAGCAAGAAAACCACAAAAAGCAGAAATGTAAGGCGGAAAACATAAATGCATGAAGAATAGGAGGATTTAACAGAATCTGAAAATGAGACAAGGAGTGAATACGTATAATAATAGGCCACTGTACACGATTCTAAGCAATGTCAATCTGAGGTCCGCAGTGAAGTAGTTTGTATATATCTACACGACTCAAACTAACAGTCCAGCTACTTGAGAGAATAAAAAAAAACATTTTTTCTCAGAAAATTATTTATTTTATATCCTATCTCTGCTTAAAATTCAATGTATAAGTGCAGTCGAATATGTCTAAAACCCATGGCGCACCTATTTTTAAATCAATATATCACCATTTGTATACATAACTGACGGAGTTCCAAATAACCTAATTGGTCCTCTGGTGTAAATTATATTTTTTTTTTCGTTTTTGTTTTAAAGGTAGTCCATTTAGTGAATCTTGAAAAACTGTAAAATGCAAGAATGACAGATAGCTAAACAGCCAACTAGCCAACTTACCACACCATCGAACTTTTTCCCACACCAATGAACCAGTTGTTTTAGTCGTGTTTTGTATTTCGCCTTTGCGCTGCCTTGACTTTCACCAATTAACGAAGAGTATGTGGAGAAAATCACGCCTTTCTTAACACGTCCATTAGTTTTACCAGAGATACGTGCATATTTAAACTAAAGTTTAAAAAAAAAAGTAGGAAAACACCAATAAGTTCTTTAATGATTAATATTCTTGTAACCTGTCCCCCTCCAATAGTTTCTCAGAATACACACACACACAAGTGATATCACATCGAAAAATGCACCGTTTACTTGTGACCGTCTGATAACACTTAGTATACTTATGTCTAACGACAACTAACTGAGAGAATCATGCTGAAACAAAAAGAGCTTTTCAAAGTGTTGATTTGCAGGGATTGCCTTTGAGTGGTTTCAGGACTTCATCATGAACTGACATCGGTTACAGCATCATATCATGAATTGGCAGAAGTTGGAATTCACGGGCCACTGACCCTTGTCCCAGTGGCTCAATGGTCTACAAGCTCACCGTGTAACCAAAAGGTGCGAACTGGGTGCAAGCTTTGGTGGTGGGTGCGTACCTCTGAAGAGTCCTAAACTATGACGAAACAGATGTCTAATATTCCCAGGTTTTCCAATGGTCTTCTAATCGATGTCAGCTCATGAAGTAATCCTAAAAGAGCTTTTAATTTATACAAATGATAAAATTGTAATGCCTTGGTGTGAATGTAGTTCACAGTGTGAACCAACACATTATATTTTAATTCATTTTGAACTTCCCAGTTGATTGATTGGACCGAAGTGCTCGGCCTCATGTCGGTATGTCAGTTCCTTGTGCAGATGCTTCGACAATGTCTGATTGCTTAACTTGCAGGTTGAAAATTGGTGGATGGTGACTAGCAGTGGATTCCACCACCAACCTAGAGGCGCACTTCATCCTATTTGGGACTCCTCAGCCAATTTGATGTACCTGCATTCCACCCAGTGAGTCGGCGGTGGTGCTCCTACTGATGCTCGAACCCAGTAAGCATAGTTTCAAACGCCAAAGAGTTAACCACTAGACTACCTGCGCCACGACAGCCACTTCGTGTGCAATTCTGAACTTTCCCCTTGTTGGATCTACACAAGGGAACCGACATGTCACAACCTGAGACGAAGCACTGCGGACCAATCAATCGAAAGGAAAGTCTAAATTGTTTTTATTTTTTATTATTAACATCCTCAGCAATACCTCAATTATGTTTTAAATCATCCATACCCAAAAAACCCCATCTCTCTAAGAATGAATTATTCACTAGGAGTACATATATTACTTAAGCGATTGTGAATGCATGTTTTATTTTCCCCCTTCAGGCATTTTTGGTGTCTAGTAAAGACTGATATCTCCTACCTTAAACTGGAAATGATGTAAGACATAAAAAGAAAGGTGAGAGACAGTTGGAATGATTCCTCTTGAAGCTCTTAACTGTTTCTATGCTTCAAATTTCTAGCCATAATATAAAGGCAAAACATATTCTAGCTTTAAAAATACACAAACATTGATTGACTCAATAATTGTGAATGGATTTCGAATGGTCCAAGTTGAAGAGTTTCTCACCTTGTTTAACGAATGAACTTTGATCTTCCCCAAACCCACGTCACGTAGATCACGTTCAGCGTCAACTTTGAGATCATTGGAAACTGATAGCCAAATGGCTTTTTTACGATGTCGTAAATAATTTTCATACAATATTCCGGCAATGGTGCGACCTTTTCCCACACCTGCCCCGTCGCCTGTAGTGGAGCAAGCAAATGCACCACTTTAAGAAATATTGTTACAATTTTCCTGAACAATATCAAATAATCATATGGCTAAATAAAAGTAACACTGAGGAGGGGGAATAGTGTTGTTTATTATATAAACGGTTTCATTTGTTCATGAAGCAGGTCAGACAAAGGTCGCATCTGCCTGTCTTTCTGTCTGTTTTCGACATAGAAATTTGCACCGATGTGCGGCAGTTCAAGTCGCAAGAGAAGAAAGTAGGAGAAATGCATATTAGAGACAGTAAACAGAGGTGTGAGACAAAGGAATAGTAATAACGGAGAACAAAACAGTTTCATTGGAAATCATAAGTCACAAGGAGTGGATGCATCTCTGCCAGCCATTGAGAACGATTTTTAGCCATGTCACCAATTGTTTCCAACCATTGGATTACACGGTCCCGAGGTCCCCAACCAGGAAGTCTACACCTTCCTACGTGGCCTAGACTAATTGTTGTAGATTTCATTGGTTTGACCGCCGCTAGCTCTTTTCTAGCCTGAGCCTATGTCAGCTAACATTGCCCGTCGAGGAAGGCGATGACTAGGCATACGCGACATATGTCCCAACCATCTCAGTCGATGTAATTTCACAACCTCGTCGGTTGATTTCCCCTCCTTTCCTAGCACTCGACGCCTAACTTCAATAATGCTCACCTTATTATACCACTTCACACGGGAGATAAAACGCAAACACCTATGATGAAAGATAGCTAATCTTTTCATGTCTTCCACTCTCAATGGCCAGGTCTCACAGCCATAAAGGAGGACGCATCTCTTTAGATGAAACACGCCATGAAGGATGAATAAGTTATCAAAGACAACTTATATTTGAAATGAGAGGTTATTAAACAATGACAACAATGATTTTTGCGTCAAGTAATAGAAACTTTTCGAGAACTTTTAAAATTTCCAATCCAATCACACAATCATTACACTAAAAAAACTAGTTAGTTGATCTCAGTTTAAACCACTATGGCTTTTCTTCAAATCTGAAGCGGCATACTGAGAGTACACCTTTCTAGCCATTTTGCCTTTATAAGTTCCCCGTGAAGTAGCACTAACGTTGATGCATAAATTCAAGAAGAAGCAATCTAAGGCACGAAGAATAGAAAAGCTTTCTAAAACAATCAAATCCTTCACCGCTACATCATAAACTAAATCTCATAAGTGCTTATATCCAGAACTCAACGATAAATAGGCATACGACCATACTGACAGTGATCATAGCAACCTTTCTTTTACCTTTATTCTTTTGCATTCTCAGCTAGAGCTTAGAAGTTCCAGTAGCACTGATGCTGTTTTTACGGGGTACGGTCGCTAGCCTCACGGCCAAGCTTTCCTCTTTATCGGGTTTATAACAGGCTAAGTAAGGTAGAGGAGTGAGTCAGCCAGGGATCGAACTCCGGACCACTTGCGTGGGTGTCCAGTTTTTTGCCATTGAACCACCAATCTGCCGGTGCATAACAATGCCAGGAAGCAGTTTGTGTCAGTTTACCATATCTCATATGCAATCACATAAGAAGATAGGAGAGTATATACGTCTTGTAGGAAGTCCTAAATACGTATATGCCGTTAATCAGAGCTTCCCACTCCACTATACAGCTTCACAGGAAAATGATATGCTATGGAACCGGCAAACATCGAACTGTGATACAACTTCGTCATTCAATTAATTTTCAGTTCTATGAGAGTAAATAAAGTCCTTGCACTAATTGAAAGATGATTTTTTGTTTTACTTCCATAGGTATAAGAATAGAGTATCCTGAACAAAACCTGTCTAGTTTGGATGAATACAACGAACATCAAAACGTTTGCACTAGTTACTGAGATGGTAAAAATAGTTGAACAGAAGTGCTGTCAACCATTTCCTGTTATCCATCTGTGAACTGTGAATTCCTGAGCTAAGACAAATTTACTTATGAAAATCGATAGCAACTTGAAAAAGGCTATAATATGATTAGGACAACATTTGAATAGATTGATGTTTGAAACTGCATAACATATGTCGCTTAGTCCGCGGGAATGATATTAAAAATTTAAAAATATTTGATACTTAGCAGTGACCTCGTTAGCATCAATCAATCAATCAAGGTGATTCGACAGACTGGTGCACAGTCATTATTATTACAACGGAAATCCACGTTAACCAAATGCAACTCGATATATACTGACTAACTGGGTTTCAATATAGAAGTTAGAATAGAAGTGCAGCAGTCCAAGTTACCACACTTCTTGTAGAACAAAACGGTAGACATATTCAAAAGAACTATGATAGCCAGAAAAGGATAGAAGGAATAATCACGTGCATAATAATACGGATTGAATGGATACAAACGATTACGAAGAGTGAATGCATCTGCACCACTGAGCGCGAGATTTTAAGCCATATCACTTAATTCCAAGCCATTGGTTCTAAGCGTCTCGAGGACCCCAGCCAGACAGTCTACACCTCCATACGTGGCTACTCCGAACCAGCTATGGAAGTCTTCATAGACTGATATCAGGAGTTTTCGTCTGACCACCACCCTAATTCCAATGTCAGCTAATATTGCTCGTCTAGAAAGGTGGTGGTTCGGAATGCGGAACACATATCATAGCCAGCCACCTCATTTGATGCAGTTTCATAACCTCCTCGATTATTTTTTCGTTTCCTTACCTAGCACGTTGTATGCTTAATCTCAATATTGCTCACTGTTGTACACCACTTAACATGGGAGATAGAACGCAGACACCGACGATCAAAGACAGCCAACGTTTTCATATTTTCCGCCTTCAATGGTCATATCAAACAACAACCATAACTGACTGACTGACTGACTAACTGGTTTCAACACACAACTTTGCACCGATGTGCAGCAGTTCGAGTCGCCACACTTCACTCAACACACAAAGCCAGAGAAGAAAGTGAAAAGAAATGCAAAATAGAGACAGCAAACAGAGATATGAGGCAAGAAGAATAGTAATGTCGAAGAACAATATAGTTTCATTGGGTGTGATAAGTCACAACGAGTGGATGCATCTGCACCACTGAGAACGATTTTGAGCCATATCACCAATTGTCTCCAGCCTTTGGTGTTTACCGTCCCGAGGATCACAACCAGACAGAAGTCTACACCCTCCTACGTGCATGTCTGGATGACTTAGACTAACTGTTGTGGATCTCATTCACTGATGAAGCCATGTTTTGGTTTGACCATCACTGGCTCTTTTCCAACCTGACATTACGTCAGCAAACATTATCCGTCGAGGAAGGTGATGGCTAGACATACGTAACACATGTCCTAACCATCTCAATCGGTGTAACATCACAACCTAGTCGATTGACTTCCCCTCCTTACCTTACAACACTCGACGCCTAACCTCAATATTGCTGACCTTATTATACTACTTCACACGGAAGACTCAATATAGAAAAAGAAAAAGACAATTTATTGTATACTGACTAATTTATAATCCAGTACAGTTAAACACACAAAACAGCAACACAAGAATACAGAAATACTGCGCTTTGTATTTACAAAAATCAGAAAGATGATAAGAAAAGATACGGAACAATTCCGATTATGGTAGAACAAGATAGTAGTGGAAGGAAAAATGAGCTAAACAAAGGATAGAAAAATCGTAGCTAAGGTGAAGGAATTGATACACATGCTTGTTTATTCACTTAGACTCAGTTATCCAAAACAGATCTTCCACATATATCAGGCTATGAGCCATCCTACTTGTTGTGTGAGGGCTAATGATTACTACCACTATTACTCAACTGCCCGGAGGTAAAGCAGATAGAGATGGATTTGAACCCACTGCAGACAACTGTGAACCATCCTACCTGGGACTCCCAATAACGCATGCCGTGTAGTCATCTCAGAAGACAATGGTGAGAAAGTTCATGGTCTTAATACATACCAGGATATTGAGTCACCTGTTAGACGACCACATTTTACACACAGCCAACAATGAACAATCGTACACCTATATAGGCGAGAAACGGTGAATACCAAAGTTACTTTTTTTTTCATCTGTAACTACATGTCAGCAACCACTTATCACTACCCCCAACAGGGTTTAGTGATACATTTAGGAAAGCTGAGTGATTAATACACTCAAATGCCTACTATTATTCGACAAGTACATATAGACCAGTACTGGGGCGACAATTCATAAGTACATTGGAAAACGTAGTCTGAACACGATGTTATTTTTGGGTTTATGGTTACACTAGCAGTGGAATCCAGCATGTGCATCCATCCCCCGTGAGTGATAGTGTTCCGGCTGAGACTGGAGCATTTCTTTAGTCAAGCATTACCAATCAACAGGAAATGCAAATTAGCCCAAAGACAAATCGTATCCCAAACACCCCTAAAGTCTTATGCAGCATTTTCCCAGATTCATCGCTAGGGATGATTAATCACTGTTAAGGAGAAAGAAATACTCATAGACACATGGATGATGAAATCAAGTAAGAACTAGGGGGCATACTTGATGTATACACCTTATGAAACAACACACTGTGTTAGTTCTGGTATGTTTCAGAAAAGACATCCTTCAGTAAGGGGAAGGACTTGTCAGGGAACAATTCCTGCAGAAAACGCAGTGCCATAATACTTCTTGATTGACACAATCGAATTCTGCCTTCAAATTTAAAAATCTATTTATGTTGACAGCATTTTTAGTCAGTCATGTCCGTGCTTGGGAACCAAAATGAAGTGACTACACGGTCAGGATTTTAAGCTTTCTTGGATTTCCTTTTTCCAAGAACCAAGACAATATAGTAAAAACCAGTTAGTTAAAGTTAAGTACTAAAAAAGTAGTGAGAATGAAAGCAACGCATAAACCAAAGTAAACTCTTAAACAAAAAGAAACTATTTTTAGGAAAGGATGTTTGAAAACAGAAGGAAAAGAGGAATAATGATAAATATTACCAGAAGGAAGTCAGCAAAGAAACATTAACAAAAGTGGAGCAATAAAATATGCACCGCCAATGGGAACGCGAAGAGTGTCATAATCAACTAACAACAATCACGTTTTTGACAGATAGGCAGATATTAATTTCTAGGCATTCACAGTGACAACTGGGTAGCCTACAGGAACGTTTATTATTATTTATTATTTAAACGCAGAAAAAACTTGGTACAACATGGCACCAAGAAAGATGCGCCACACAATAATAATAAGACAACATAGATTAAAAGTAAAAATATAAGTAGAAAACGGATAAAGAACTTCATCTGGAAAGAAAACAGTCATGTTTAACAAGTTCAAACAGTATTCGTTAACTATCATCAGGAAGGGAAGAAAGAAAGAAATTGCAACACGTTCACCACTGATTACGATTCTCGGCCATATCCAATAACGTTTCGAGCCATCGATTCGAGCTATCTCGCGGACCCCAACCAGGGAGTCGTGACACACCAACCGATGCTAATCTAGCACAAACATCCTTCATCCCACGACGCCACGTCATGGACTGACCACTCCTCCGCCTTTTCCATCCCGTCCCAGGGCTAGCGAACAGAGACCTGTACGGAAGTCTCTGGGATGACATTCGCAGCACATGTCTAAGCCACCAGAGCCGGTGTTTCCAGACGACGACACTCAATGAATGGTGATCTCCACTGTGTTCAAACACACTCCGTCGAACCTCAGAATTACTCACGCGATGATGCCATCGAACGCAAGCAATCCTGCGGAGACAGCGATGATCGAACACGCAGAGTCGCCGCACATCCTCAGCTCGGAGAGGCCAGGTTTCACAGGCGTAGAGCAAGACAGCCCGCACCGAAGCATTGTATACCCGACTTTTGACAGCCAGACTAACGTCGCGACGGCGCCAGAGGTGGCTCAAGTTAATGAATGCCACCCTAGCCTTCATTATACGGTTAGAAATCTCATCTGTCACCCCTCCGCCAGCACTCACACAACTACCCAGATACACAAACGTAAAAGTATGTCTCAGTACTTCCTAATCAGGATGCAAACTGCAGTTGAATCATATTTTCAATTGGAACTTACCATCTTGTCAAATGAATTGTCTACTCTCTATATATATAATCACTTAGCACAGCTTCGCCAAAAGCAATTAATGCATGGAAATCACCAACACAGGTGTAGAATGAGACAGGAGAAACTGCTGAAAGAGCACGATACACCACCATATCAATGAGCGGCTGGTGATTAAAACAAGTTGAGTAGATTTCCAAAAGCTCGAATTTGCAGACACTTCGACTCAGTTGATTGAAACTCACATGAATATGAAATAAATTTACCATTGGATGATAGGATGTGCTTGTGAATGTAATGAGGTTAATTTTGTTGATAAAAGAGCTTCTTCCAAGCCTAAATTACCAAGCAACTAACATGAACCACTGGGACTGAGTAGAAAAAAACAGAAAACATATTGCATACATCAAAATTGAATAACGTACCAATCAAAAAGCCAGCTCGTTGACCATTGGGTAAGATGCACTCATGACGTTGACAGGCATATACCACTGCCTCCAACTGCAATGCTGAAAGACATGCACGGTCGATTACTTCATCTGGCAGACATAGGCGGTAATGTATATCTGGAGGAGAAACGCTGGATAGGGAACTTGATTCAACTACAGGATCTGGATGTTTTCGTCCGAACTTTACTAAAATGACAAAACAAATTGCTGAACTGCGATGCCATTTATAATGTGATGTGCATTAACTTGGAATACATTGCCGTTTATCTAAACAAACATTATATCGTGACTTACCCCAACTAGACAATGAAAAATGGATGAAATGTGATTGATTGTAGCTCGGAAATAAGTCATACTATGAACAAGAGGTCCTTCCTGGCACTTGCTTCAAAATCAGCTTGACGCTCGATTATCTCAGAAGCATGCGATATGTGTCTGTTCGCATGCACGCGTTTTATTTCATTCGTACCATTAATAAGTATTTTTTTATCCCTTTACGTCCCCAGTGGAACATGGGGCTTCACACTAGAGCTTTGAAGTATCAGCAGCAATAGTATTTATTTTTACAGGATGGATGCTAGCCTCACACCCAACCTTCCTTCTTTGCCAGTCTTATTACTGGCTTAGCGAGGTAAGAGGGTGCATCGGTCAGGGTCGATCCTCCGACCATCTGCGTGGCTGGCAAGCATTCCACCGCTGTGCCACCGACGCACCTTCATAAGTTACGAAACACTAAATTTCACCTCAATTCTAAGAACTACTCATTGACTAGTCAATATGAGTAGTCAAATATTACTCACACTAACCAGTAGTGCTTTCTTGCCACCGGACAGTTGTTTCACTTGTTTGAAGTCGAGCTCCTTAGTGGTGCGCCCGGTTTAATACAGATGTCTAAGCTCAATTTGTTCAAATCACTCCAATTCCGGTGAAATACATCATAACATTATAGCAGTTGCATTACCCAAACCTTTTACACAGTGGAAAAGTTAGCCTACACATATTACGCAACTTATACACCAGGTTTCAGATTACAACCCTGAGTCGAAATAACAAACAAAAATGAAGAAACTAAACAGATATAGGGGAGAAGCCCATGAAGTATCAGCGATGAGATGCTTTAAACACCTTGACATCTATCCATCCTGCTGAATATTTCCAGCTTCCATTTTAATAAACGCTGAATCTCCTGACAGTATGTATTATATAATCAAGAAAGTGATGACATAAGTTGAACTGAAGGGAACACAAAAAGAATTATATATATAAAGAGGGGAGGACTATTGTATGCAAAACTACCAGACATCAATTCTCCTAATGCTGGTCCTGTAGCATACACAAGCATTAATGTTGCACCACGCCAGCAACACATAAAACAATCAATGAGTGTTGCTTTAGCGGCTTTGGTGCATTTATTGAATAAAATGTTAGCTTACATTTCAATGGAATGTAATCAGCATAGGTTTCCGCTTGAGCTAGATCTTCATCTTCATCCATATCTTCATCACGCTTTAAGGAAAAACAGATAGAAACTGATGAATTTTTCGACTGTTTATATATGCGGTAAACAAAAATTCAAAAGCCAACATCTGGAGAAAAACAGACACCTGCCAAGGATAATAATATGGGCTATAAGCAGGGAAAAGCATAGGACAGATGATTACAAAGTGGAACAGATATGTCCATTCCTTATAATCTCAGAGGATTCCAGTCTTTAACAATAGATCTGAATATAATTGCTTCTTATCATTAGCTCACAAATGAACTTCATGTACAAAGTGAATCCAACGAGAACAAAATAACCGACATTAGTAAAACTACTGGTTATGACAGCTGGATAATATTCCATGCTTGTTTACTAATAAGTTGATAAAAGGTCAGAATGCAGCAAGAACTGGTGTGGACTCGATGACAAACAACAAAGCCAAAGACTACAATGCACTGTGACATGCTGCAACGTTGCTAATTGACAAAACCTCTGTGGTTACAGTTGAGAAGAGTAGGCATATTTCACTGATAACAAACTGAATGGATCCCTTCCAAAAGAAATCCCAAACTGTCATAGTTTAAAATAATAAGCCACATCAAAATATCACTAGCCCTAGTATCTTTTAGGCAAGGAAAACATTTAAGCTTCCTTCAAGATAAGAATGAAAATTGTTTGATTATCTAAGCCTTAATAGGAAATTGATACTTCAAAAATGTCACCAAATCTGATGCTAAAACTCCAGTGATCAAATATCAAAGCTAATAGACCACATGATTTCTTTTCTAATTATGTTGTTGAGGATACTCCCTTTTCTACAAAGTGAGTTAACACTCACTTATCTTAAATAGATTTCGCTCCTATAAGGTCATGAGTTACGCTTACTGTGTGAGGGCTGATGGTAATGCCTAGCTACATAGGCAGAATTAGGTAGAAACGGATTCAAACTCTCGACCCAACAGTTGAAGATAGTGGAATGCTACAGTCGGTAGACTGAGTATTTTTTATAGGGCAACGTGAATGACCGACAAACCTAGAGTGAAACTCGTTATTAACATTACAAACGCTAAATAGATGATTGCCAGTAAGAATGAATTCTTGAGATGACTTTGAGCGACAAAAACATCCAGAAACAGGCTGGAATAGCCACTAGTACTGATACTACAGAAATATAATAATACAACACAGTATTTGGGTGCAAATGAAACAACCATGTTCCGAAAATTGTGTCACTTTTACTTTGCAATAGGTGATGTGGACTACTACGGTATCTAACCCAAAGTTCAGAAAGTATCACACTTCTATGTACAGTAGAAACAAAACTATAGACAATAACTCCAGATGGAATAATATAAAGAGTAATACTGACGTTAGGAGTAGTGTTAGGTAAAGAGAAGAAGTCAATCGATGAATCTGTGAAGCTACGTCAACTGACATGACTGGTACACTTGCTGCTCATGCTGAGCCACCGCCTTCCTAAACGGACAATGTTAGATGACATAAGATTAACTTGGAAAAAGGGTTAGGAGTGGTCAATTCAATAAAAGACATTGCGCTATGAAGTCACTGACCATTCTCGTTTGAGCTATGTGTGGTACACACTCTCGAGACGCTAAGAACCAACTGCTTGAGACTATAAGCGATATGGCTGAAAATCCTATTCAGTGGTGCAGACGCATTCACTATTTGTAGTTCTCCAGATCTATTAAATTCGTATTGTTCTCCAAATAATTGTTCTTTCCTCCATACGTCTCTGCTCGTCACAGGTCTTTTGGATTTTTTTCTATTTCGCTACCTACCTTTGTGGGTTGTATGCATTGTGGCAACTTGAACTGCAGCATTTTTGTAAGAAGTCCTAATTTAGAATGCAATCAGCCTCCAAAGCCTCAGGATGGTCGGGGGTGGGTGCCTTGCGCTGTGGGTTGGCCACCCCTCCGCACACCTCTTCAAATGCTCCCATATGACCGGGCGTCTTACATAGCCTCTCCTGAGGAAGTCCTACTCACTGCCTTTACGTGGCGGAGGTGTTTTTCACCAAAGTGAGAGGGCGAAAGCGGATGCCCGGCGCTCTTCACCGGATTGACTGTCCATTGGATGACAGTCTAGGGGAGATGGCTAAACCCTGATTCCAAACCTCCAACGACTGGCATATGAAGCTCACTGGAGCTCACCGGCAGACGTATAGACAAAGGGCTTGTTGGATGTCCTGGATGTCTGGCCTCATTCAAAAAGGCGTATGAATCGAACTCCGGTCACCGGCTGCCAATGGATAGTGGACTCCCTACTCCACTCCTACTGCCTTGCAGGTCACACTTGGTTGTGTAAAGGCTAGAGCTGCACTCTCAAACAAAAGGCCGAGAGATTCTGGGGACATCATTCGTACCAAATTCCCATGAAACTTCATAAACTCTCTTACAAACATCGCCGCGCCTGGGCAGCGATGATTCGAGATGTTCATGAAGCCGGCTCATCCTCCCGTAGGATAGCCGAAGTAAAGTAAAGTAAGTAAGCAATCAGTCAGTCTTCTTCTAGTTAGATACAACTATATGTGAAAGCAGTTACTACTGAGTTGTAGTATTTTTACACCTCAATCCGTTAACAATGATATTAACCCTAAGTGGTTCACGGATATTGAAACAAGTTTGGAAATGTCAAGCATGTAACTGGCAATCTGGCCTTAATTGACTGGATTTATTAAAACTGCTTTGAATCTACCCCTGACTCATTTTTTCGACAGAAATTCTCAATCTCTGTTGATGTGCCGACATATGTTACGAACACTTCGACGGTGTTTTAAGGTTAACTTGACTTTATCTGATCGACTAGTGGCTACTAGTGGAATCCAGAACACATGTTTCATACTACCTGAGACTCATGAGTCGTATATACGTGCATCACTGTGAATGACGTACACGTGATTTTTGTGGCTAAATCCTGTATACCAGTTAACCGATATATATGTCATTCCTCAAAACCAGGAATAAGAATTCACATACAGAAAATATTAAAATGAAGTGAAACCGGTAAAAAATAAGTTATCAACAGCATAAAGCACGGTGAGGAAGTATGAAAGGTGAAGACTTACTTTTATCACTGGGTAAGGTCTGGGAGTTTGCTGGACATGATTAGGCAGCCGAAGATTGTGAGGTAATGATGGCCGTGGAATATTTGGAGTTTGGTACCAATTATTCAAACTTGTTGGAACAGTAGATACGCTTGGAAAAGCGGAATTGGTCTGACCAACGACTTCTCCATCCATATGACCCTGGGATGCCACACGTCTCACCTTCGAAATCGGCTGACTGGTTTCGATAAGCGAAGGGGGCCGCTTTCTTATGATGTTCGGTAGGTGTGTAAGCGATGGGGAAGCCACACGACCATTATCACCCGGCTTTCTTAATAGATGGCTAGCCATTTGAGGAGAATGGGCCTGAGCAATAGGTGGACTGCTACCATTAGCCGATGGCATCACCCTGAGGATAGTAGGTCCTCGAGAACTAAGAACTTTTACGTTGGGATTTGCGGTGATCGAAACTGAGGGAGGATTGCTAAAAGTTTCTTGGGGTTTTAGAGAGGCTGGTGCAATGCCTGCATTTATGAGTGCACTGAGTATTATATCATTCTGAGAAGTAGTGGCAACTTCATTAGGCGGTTTAGTTATAGTTGGTGCTGAAATAACCTTTATACCAGCATCCGTGAAAGTCTCATTAAATCCAGGTTTTACATCGTCATTCACGACATTAACTGAAGCATTTAGATTACTGGAAGGTTCTTCGTCTGCGTCAAAATCCTTAGTAGCAAGACCTTTAAGTGCATCCTCGAAAATAGAGGCAGGATCCATTTCACTAAAAAAGAGAACCAATTGTATTCACAGATAACACAAAGCCAGAATTACTTAAAAATCAACCCAAAAACATAATATTCAAATCTGGAGGTAGTTCAATACTAAGTAATACAGTGCTGTAGTGAATAGGTGCTTCTCCTGGTAACCAAATACCCTCAACTCCCAACCCATTATACGTAACAATTACTTAATCAAAAGCCATAGAAATACGTATAATTGGCTCCCAGACAACAAGTACAGGATTCAAAGCCCACCCTAACTACTTCACTTTGGAAAAAGAGGTAGTATAGTTAGTCCCGACACTATGAGTGGCTCTTAACCCGATACACGGTAACTTTATTCTGGGTATCTGAGATATCACTAAAAACAAAAGTAATTGCCTCTGTGGCTTACTGCTGCGAGCTTCGCATTTGTAATGGTTGCACGAACTGTTTGAAAGAAACTGTCATTAGAAGCCATACGGTCAGGCCAAATTTCTAACTCTAAACGAATCATTCCTCGACATAAATTCCTGAATGTTTTGGTTCCACCTTGACAAAAACTTGATTGGCACATTGAATGAATACTTAGCTGTCCCAAATTCTAAAACTACACTTCAAGCTAAATGTGGCCGACCTTTTTAAGTGACTTTCTGGTCACCCCTAGCCAATCGCTTCAATATACGTCACCAAAACCATATACTATCTTCGATGGTGAATTAACATAAGCTTTAATAAAAACAGATCTACACATCTAATTTCCGAAATAGGACTAGATAAGCTTTTGTTTCACTTTTAATAATACCACCTGAAGTAGTAATCTAAAGTCCCGACAACTGGATTTTGTTGACCGTTGTTAAAACCGTTAGAAAAGAGTCAAAACCTTTTATCCTCTAAATTAGCGGAGAAAAAATTCGATCATACGAAGAATAGCATCAATACATGCGAGTTATGTTTTACACTGAGAACGAAACAATTATGCAATTATTCGAATACACCGAAGTGCTACTAGTCGACAAAACAAACAGCTACTCTGCCAAGCAGTAAAGAACAATAAGAAAAGCGAATGTCGAAGTAAACTAAGTACATGTAAAGCCTGAGAGTACCTGGCTCACTGAACAATCAGTTGATGCTTGTCAACTAATTCTAAAAATTAATTTGGAATCCACATAATAGAAATTGGGTACTGTGGAGTTCAGTCTGTTGAGAATTAAAACACTCATAAGAACATTCCACGTGGCCAAAGTATGTCTTACGATCAGAAAATGTCAAAAGCCTAACCGCAAATCAAAGTCACCCAGAACTCTAAGGCTAAGACGAAACAAACGCAATACGGTTTTGCGAATATTCCAAACATGAATCATAACAAGCTACTAAGTGCTTACACTATCACTTTCTCTCATTAAACATCAAACAAGCTTCACAACAACTGAATGGTCAACAACTTAAGAACGACTAGCTGCAGACTCAATATCATTTAGCTTAAGATCTCGATATCACCAATGTTCATAGTGATATACCACTAAGGTGAGAATCAGGTGATACTGCTTTCTTAACAATATTCAGATGAACAGAAGACAGTGCTGGCAGCTTCAGGCTCAGCACTGGAATTCCATTAAGCAGCCGCGAATTTTAGTATGATTCACAGGAACATGCCTATGTGGAGTAGTTACAGCTAGTACATCTGTTGCACAGGGAAAAATTAATCCAACGCAGTCACACTAAAATGTAAATTATTACAACCATAATAGGAATTTGATGTTAGGAAGTATTGCAACACTTCATGAAATCTTCCATTATCTTTAGTCTTCAGGAGTAGGACTTTCAATAATTATGGCGAATTAATACTCAAATCTTCGAACAACTGCATGAGCGTGTGTCACTGGCTTATGATAAACTGCAGTGAAAAGACTTTTATGAAGTCATGACTCAAAACTTGTCATAAATATTACTAAGTCTGTCAAGACTACAAATATATATGATCATTACAATATCGCTTGATTTTAGGTTTGGAAAAGTCTTCATTATTACAGTATTACTGGCCTTATAAAGCCACTCACACTCGCATCTCACGTAAGCACGGACAAGACCAGACGTGAGCCTAGCCGCCGTCAGCGAGAGACTAAGTCAATTCATGGCTACTGTCAACATAGTATACTTAAACAAAAAACATTGGACAAAAGAGTTGTATAAGTAATTTGCTCCTTTTAACAGTAAAAGAGTCCCAAAATAGTCAGAGGCGACCAAATAACCTGTAAATTACATAGTCACTATCAAAAACACCTTATATAAGTTTGGAATAATATGATGATTCAATGATAACAACTGGGAGTTAACAAACACATCAAGCCTGTATAATGGTCTTTATATATTGATAAAGGCAGGCAACGTATTTATTGCGGTGAATTCCATTCACGCATCTTTTATTGAGCATAACCTGACTCTACACCGTATTTATGGTACATGTATGGAATTTTCAGCATGGATATCGGTAGCCCAATTTCGCAGGCCAACCATTGATATTGGGTGTGAGTCGGTAGTGGATCAAACCCCAGACCACGTGCATGGTCAGCGAGAGTCCTAACCACTGTGCTACTGACGCACAGTGGTAGGTAACACCCAGGCTTTTACTTTGGTTACAAAATTAACAGTATGAACTAGCAGTATTAGAATGAAAACCACAGGAAACACTTGACAGGAGGTAGGCACCAGAATCTTTTAATAGAATTATAGTGCTCATATTTCCGATCAACCGGTTGTCATTCTCAATATCAGTGGAGACCATTAGGAATAAGTGCCTACTACAATTCATCAACCAACATTTCATAGGCATGGAACCGATTTTTGTAGGAAGAAAGGCTTTTCGCAACTATATCGAAATTTCATCATGGGTATGTCCACTGGATTAAATATGTTGTTTGGATTGACGAAAAATTATGCCCCTTAGCAGAAAATTGGAATCACTATCATGGATCGAAACGTAAATGCATCCGCAAACATTATATTCACGATTAGTGATGAACGCCTTCCCTCAGTTCGTTCAGAAAAAAGCTAAAATGGTTCTCATCCCATAATAAAGCGAGAATTAGAGTTGAATGCATTTGGTCGGCGCTATGTCAAATTAGTGAGGAAGGTACCTGGCTTGATTCTTTACCGTGCCAATTAAACACATCTGGTAACTTCAACGTACTACATACAGACGGCACAGAACTTCATTCCACTACGTCCAATCAACTTATATATGAAAATCAAGTCGCTATAACTAAATAACCTCTGAAAAATCTCTGAACTTACCCCTAAACGGCTTTTTCATCAAGTTTAGGTTTCTGTAGATGTCACGATAAAACTGATTTCAAGACTCAATTTCTTAAATAAGCACTTCCATGTTCTTCATATGCACTGTTATCGCATTTCTGTTTTTCTTAGGTGTTCGTTATATATATTTATATATCTGTTTCATACAATTTACTTCTCTCCTTTGGAAGCTTTTGATAAATCCATAAACTAATATTTGACTCTTGCACATAGTGTTACATATGTTGTTACATGTGTTCTAGCTTTCTCAGTCTTCTAGACATTCTAGCTCTTCTCTGTCGTAACAATCTATTTGGTTACCATGGGATTAAGAAGCCGTCTACTCACAGAAAGTGTGGAGTTGCGGTCTCATTTATTTCTTGACATCGGTAAGATATAACACTGAGACTATTTATTAGACCTATCCTGAATTGCTGCGGCATGGCTAGTGTGCCGTGTGAACGTAAAAGACTTCGTAAAAAGTTGACCCAGGCTAATTGTCCCATCATTTTTAAGTTAAGTAAGCCTCTTGATGCCAGTAAGTTTACTAAATTTCAGGATCACTTAAGACTGAATTATTATTATTATTGTATCCTTTAATTCCTACAAGAACATAGGGCTTCAGCCGTGCGTCTCCATTGCGTTCGGTTCTCTGCTACAGTCTTCACCTGGCTCCATGTCTGCCCACACGTTTTCATCTCCTCTTCACATGACCACCTCCGAGTCACCCTTGCACTGACGACCAACTCGCCGCTTCCCTTTCGGGTTCCACTCGAACAATGGCTTGTCTAGTGATGCCACTTGATGGTTTCCTCAGAGTATGGCCAATCCATCTCCATTTCTTCCTGCCTATTTGTTTCACAATCGGTTCCTGTTTGGATCGCTCCCAGAGATCCCTGTTGCTGATCTTTTCTGGCCATCTGATCTTGAGTATTGAGCGAAAACAGCTGTTGATGAAGGTCTGTAGTTTGTTTGAGATGCTCTTTATGACGTGTCAAGTCTCTGATCCATCCGTATAGTAGCGCCGACTTCACATTGGAGTTGAAAATCCGGATGTTATTTTTAATGATGAGTGCTGTTGACCTCCACACAGACTTGAGAGTAGTGAAAGCTTGTCTTGCTTTTCCGATTCTTGCTTTGATGATATCTTCGTCAATTCTACCTGTAGTTTAAACGAGACTTCCCAGGTAGGTAGGGGAAGGAGGTTGCTTCTTTCGGATTTATCCCATTTATGCTTATTGTTGCCTGTTGTGGTTGCTGTGGCTGTTGGTGGTGTTGGCCAGGAATTTTCATCACCACATCTGGTTTCTCTATGTTCACCTGAATTCCTATCTTTGATGCTTCTTCTGCCAACTTGTTGCTTTTCGCTTGCATATCTTCCAGTTTGTGGGAAATCAGACACATATCATCGGCGAAGTCCAGATCCTCCAAGTTTTTTGCGTGAGTCCATTTTATGCCTGTTTCCTCATTGCCCGCCACTGTTTTTCGCATTATCCAGTCTACTGCAATCAGGAAAATCATTGGCGATAGTAGGCAGCCAGCTTGTCTTACTCCTGTCCTCACTTCGAAGGATTCCGTAAGTTTCCCATTGTGGATTACTTGGCATGCAGCATTGTCGTATAGCTGTTGGATGAGATGTATTATTGTCGGTGGCACCCCGCAGTAGCGAAGTAGTTTCCAAATCACCTCTCGATCGACGCTGTTGAAGGCCTTTTCAAAGTCGATGAAGTTGAGATAGAGAGGTGACTGCCATTCCAGGCTTTGTTCAATGATGATCCGTAATGTGGCGATCTGATCGATGCATGACTTGTTTCTCCTGAATCCTAAGACTGAATAGCAGTTATAAATTTCCAAGAACACATGGCAAATTTTCCAGGTGTCCCGAATCACCGGTACGACCCATGGCACTTAGGACCGCGTCATCGCACTCTAACCTCGATGTGTGGACACCCAGTCCAACCCCCTTATCACTCATAAACTCTTGCGGTGCTGACACACAAATAGAATTAGGTTATGGTAATATTTTAAGCCTGTTTGTTGTATCCCGTGACTTATTCACGATATTACTAATAAATGCATGTTCTCTAGTCAATAAGACATCTGAACTAAGGACATTATTATCAATCGCCAAGCCTACTGTTACTCTGATAGCCGAATCATGGTGATCATCCTCATTACTTGATGTGCATATAGGTGGAGGATATCTCATGTATATAGATAACTCATTCGTAGTCAGTAAGGTGGAAGACGAAATACTGAATGAGGTGCCTGATTCACTCTGTATCGTCTTACATGAAGATAAGTACAAACTTCTCATATGCTGTGTTTATCGGGCACCATGTTCAACCAAAGAAACTGATGCGTTGTTAGCTAAATCATCTGCACACGCCTCCTCGTTTAGTACTAATTAAAAAATAATTGCAGGGGACTTCGGTGTTACAGACGTCAACTGAGTGAGTAGTTCCGGCCCCCGACTCTTCGACGAATTACTTGCTACTATCGATTGTTTCGGATGGCAACAACACGTCCAGACACCTACCCGTGGGGACATGTTGGACCTCGTGTTTTGTCACGACACAATCACAGTCCCACCAATGTTGGTAACAGGTTTTCCAGTAGTGGCCATAGAATGGTACTCTGCTCTCTGTCTTTCTCACCACTAAATACAGGGAACAAACAAGATTCAGGGGGCATGATATGCCGTAGTTACAAACATACCGACGGGGGATTAGTCCAAGAACTCATTCGACTCTGTCAATGGGATGACTATTTTACCACTGACTCCCTGGAGACTGTAGTGTCTCTATATTACAGGAATGTCATCGTTTGTCTAGATACTGTCACGCCTAAGAAGGTGGTTAAATTATGTAGAAACTGAGCTGAATACATTCCAAGGGTATGCCGCAATAATTTAAGGAAGTTGATGAAACAGTACTATTCCACTAAGAATAGATCACTACTGAACTCAATCCACGAGTCACTAGAATATATTAAGCGCCTACGCTCTCAAAAGGACCTCGACGAAGAGTTGAGTGCATTTAAAAGTACTCCCAAAGTTAATAACCTAGCAACACTTCTTAAAAAACGAATGCAGTCGACGAGGGACATCCCCTTCTTACTTCACGACAGAGTAATCTACAATGAGCCTGCCACCATCTGTGAAGTATTCGGTTAGTGGTTTGCGAACTTCAGTTAAGAAACACCCCTGTGGTGAAACCGCTCCCCCTACTAGCTCTTCCCTCGGGAACACAGTGCTCACTAATCAATTAATAGAACAAGAAGTTAAGAGCCTTAGACCTTCTACTATCACGGGACCCAATAGCCTTGCTTCAATAATTTTTAAAAACAGTGGGTGTGATTTTCCCCTATCACTTCTTAAATTCTTCTCAACATCTGTGGACACTGGCACTTACCCTAATGAGTGGAAAACTAGCTTCATAATTCCACACTACAAATCCGGTGATAAGACAAACGTTCGCAATTACAGACCCATAAATATAACCCCAGTTATCTCGCGAATCATGGAGAAAGTTGTCAAAGATCAATTGTCTGACTATTTACTTAGGGAAGATCTTGTTACAAGGTCTCAACACGGATTTCTCAAAAATAGGTCATGCGTTACTTGCCATTTCGACTTTTTCGACTGCATCACTAGTAGTCGTGTAGCACGGAAGCTAGTTGTTGCTCTCTACTTCGATATACCTAGGGCATTTGACATGGTATCTCACAGTATTCTCTTTGAGAGGCTGTACTCATGTGGAATTCGCAATCCATTACTGAACTGGTTAAAATCATTTCTAAGCAACAGGGTACAAATAACCAAAGCCGGATCTGTATT